TAGGTCGTAGTTAAATTTATGAAGTTGCAAAATGTATCTCGATTGTCAGGAACTGCGACTCGCAACTCGGCCTCGTGCACAAATAGGAAAGACCAAGGTACTATTAGGAAGAATGAGGGTGCACATAACAACATTTGCCCATGTTTTTGCTTACCTATCTAAATATCATTGTCCCCCAGACGCGTTAATGTGCGTCCAGAAACCTTTTCACTGGTGTATGCTAATCAGTGTGATGACAGATGCCGCAGAAAAAGTAGGCCACACCAGAACAAGAGGAATTCCTCCTCAGTCATTTTCCGGAATTCCGCACACATGCCTTGAACAAGCACTACAAGTATTTTTTGAAGTGTGTCGAAGTTGAATGGTTCCAATGTTGGCCCAAGTGCAAGGTGTCGTTCCCAGAATTGCCAGCTGAGCATGTCTACACGACCAAAGAAGAGGAGTATATAGCAATGCACGTGAAAACCCGTCAAAAGGCAAGTCAGGGATATGCTCACCATGCAAAATGAGCATGTACTTACCAGATCTCGACAGCAAATCGCATCCTGGTTCAGATGGCAGAATAATCCTGCCCACTTAGGTCGCTCAGCTGCTGAAAGAGGGGTGTTTAAATTTGACGCCATGTTAGCTGGGGGCGTCAATCTGAAAGGAACACACGCACCACAGAAAATCGACATATATTCCAACAAATACTACGACAAAAAGATCAAGCACGCTGCAGACAATGCGATCAAAAATGAACACATTACCAATAGAGGTCCAAAGTTGAACAAACACTGCGAGATCACGTGCCATATGTATTCAGACGAAAGTGAAGTCATCAAAGCCAAGATTGACAAGAAGTACAAACAATAAAGGTGAGATATACAAAACAACATGAACACCGAAAGTCAGGTAAGCCACCAAAAATTGACAACATGTCCAAAATCAAGTACATACCTCTCCCACATGATCGAACGGTTCGTTCTGACTAAATTTAACAAAAAGAGCTATTCATGAGCTCAGCCCCATGCTCGATCGAGTCCTCAAGTACCTTGGACATATGACTGGAGGGTGGAAGTTTAGCGTGTTGATGGGGGGTCATGATCCTAGCACAGGTGAAGTGTCAGTGTTTAAGTGAGTGAAAGAATTTGATGTGCTAGGAAAACTGTACTCATGATTGATTCACATTAAGCTACCATGTAGGAGAAGTTGAAAGTGGTGTACAGTTTGACCAAGCGTACGACAAGTTTGACGTCGTGCAGAGCGCCTTCCTAGAATTTGTCAAAAAGTCTATTGGTGAGTTTAAACATGTTATTCAAAGATGCGCCTTACCTTCAAACTAGCATTCGAGTCTACGTTATCACGGGAGTCTGAGTCGGAGTCAGAGTCAGAGTCAGACGCTGGACTATTGTTGTTAGACATGGACTCTGACAAGGAGTGGGGAAAGAGCAGTGGTGAGGGTGGGCATAGTCAACTGCAGGAGGATCCTGGGAACTACCTCTATCGCATGACTCCTCAATCTGATGAAGGGGCCGATCTATTTCCCGCCATTATTAATGCATCACCAACTACCACCAGTGATGCATCATTCAACGTTGAAGCCACGGGCCACCTCACAACAATGGACCACATGGACCTTTTAGTACTCGATCCTTTTCTGAACGACCCCATCATACAGGGTAGTATAGATTTTTCAGCATTTGATCCAGTGGTGTTCTCAGCTGTGATCAACGATCCGACCTTCAACATCAACATGCTCGGTTCCCCTCAGGTGCCTCCCGTGAATTCACATTGGGATGTCGAGGACAACCCATATTCGTCAACTCCACAGACTCAAGAGGTCTTTCTTCCATCTGTACATAGCGAGGAAGGAGAGGATAGCAATGACCTCAACAACTCACCTGCTGTTCCCCAAGCCAGGTGCAGAAATCATTTCGACAGAACTCAAGTGCCTGCACCGTCTGCAGAAGCCCCACATCTGCATGCACATAACACTGTCCCGTTCAATCCACGTGAATGCGACAATGAGATTGGTACCTCAACTGTTGCTGAGAAGGGTAAGCGGAAAAATGCTGAAGGCAACTACAGTTCACACAAGTACACACATTCGTTTTCTGTTTGTGAGTGACACTGATATATTCTTTGCAACAGAAGGGCACGACGACATTAGAATAAGGTTTAGATATCAACTTGTTGATTTTGTTAGTGTATCTTGCTTGTAGTACTATACACCTCTTATTGTAATACAGCAACAAAAATATTTTCTTGAACTCTGCATGCACGAAATGAACATGAACAATTTTACCGGCTTGAAAACCTTGACAGAAATTACGCCAACAGTGTTAGTGGGACTTGGTGAATAAAAAACTCTAGAATGACATCATTCTGGTGCCATCTTCTGATGCCGAGTACTTTCCTTTCCTATATTGGACAAGTGGCTGAGGTACAAAGTATTTAAATGCATTAATAAGCAAGGGAAGCAAGGTACAAAGTATTTAAAGGCATTAGTATGCAAGGGAAGCAAGGAAGGTAAGGTACAAAGTATTTAAAGACATTAGTAAGCTAGGAAAGCAGGGGAAGCAAGGGACAGAGGTATGCAGAAGTATCCCCTATTGAGATTTAGAGGGCTTAGTAATTAAAGGAAGCAAGGGACGAAGTATTTTGCCTGATGCATTACCAATGCATCAGTAATGCATCACCTTCTCTATTTGGATTGAGCAATGTTGATGCATCATGAAATGTCTGCTACTTAGCCTATTTTAATGCATTAAAACTACAGTATGGCCTGAGTACTTACTACTAAGGTCATTCACTGGCCTACAGGTTATACTGTCCATATTATGCATAATTATGTCTGGTAAGAAATTGTATGGTTATGTATGGTTCTCTCTAGTCCTTGATGGGTGAGCCTTTATGCATAATGGATTCCAACTATGCATAATGCTGCTGGTAATGATCAGCTCCACTTCGGGTACCCACTTTGTGCAACACACATCCTATTTTAGTCACCACTTCATGTCAGCCTGTTAGATACCGTGCCAACTCAAGAAGCAGAGGGGTCGGGGCTTGGCTTCAGCTCTTGCGCTACACCCTTAGCCGAGTACGTGCCCCGAATTTGGAGCAGGTCTGACGTTGTCCGACGGTAGGACGATTGGACCGCTTTGGTCCGCTCTGAGGGTTGGGGAGTAAGAGCTACTAGTGGTGGGCCGACTAGGAGTGGGGCGGAGAAGGCGGGGAGTGATGTGGAGAGGGGATAGGAGCAGGGGAATGTTGGTAGGGGCAGGAAAGGCGGAGGATAATGCAGAGGGGCGAAGGAGGATATTTGATAGGGGCGGAGTAATAAGGGAAAGACTTAGAGCACGGCTCTAAGTCGGAGCGGAGGGTCGGAGGGTCGGAGGTGACAACAAGTTGAGACTTGTGTCCAGAGGAGGCAAGGTTCTACTGAGAATTCTCACAAGATATAACTGCGAGAAGACAAGTAATATTAAGATTGAGGAAAAATATCTAAGTACATGATATGTTATATACTACTATGTATGAGGCAGTGATCAGGATAACTATGCAGTAAAGCTATGTACCAAGGATATAGTTTGTAAGTATTTTACATAGGCAAAGACATAAGTCGGGGTGGATATCAATATGTACGCATTGGATCAGCGATCGAGCTGTAATAGGAATTACTGGCCATCCAGAAGTAAGGGTCTATGTACCAATAGGGAAGGCATATATCTAAAAGGGGAAAGAGCTCCAGTTGAATGGAGAGGTTATGGAAGGGGACTGGTTGAGCGGTTGAGCGGAAGCATAGGGCAGAATGCGGACTTGTGATTGGGCGGAGCAGAGGATGAATGGGGCGGAGGGGTCAGAAAGCGGAGCGGATATCAGTATCAGAACAGTCGGATCAGGTATATGACACAGCCTCTCCACATTATTCCGACAAATCACATCTTCGCATTTTTCAGCCACACAGTGTGGGTCACAACACCAAAAACATCACCCAATATAGTATACCCCACAATTATAATTATTTCCACACCCTCCACACCTCACTACAGCTTCACCACCACACCACAATAGATCCCCCTTCATATATAAGTTGTAGTTTGGTATACTCCTCCAGGGCCATTTCAAAATAGCCTAGGTGCAGAACACTTTTGCATTCTTGCCCCTTTGATAGGGAAGTGTCCCAGGGCATTCAGATCATGTTTAGAAGTATATATGAAGAGATTCCTGTCCTTATTTGACCTCCTGAAGTGTCCTACATTAATAGATATAGCATATATATAGGAAAACACAAATGAATGCACCACTGACATGCTATGTCATAAATGATAAGGGAGGTGTCAAATTGATCTGATCTGTAATTGATAGCATTGCATATAGAGTAGTCAACATTTATGTGGCTAGGAACTTTGACTAGCCTTCTGAAACACTCAAAACAACAGAAACATGGCTACTATTCACCCTTCTGAAAATCCACCACAGAGTGTGGAACAAAACATCTGTGCCATGCACAGGCAGTAGGCAGTAACTCCAGTTGCTCAAAGATTACTTTGGTTTGTATTTGATGCATTGACCGCACGATGGTTGCTGCAATAAAATCTCTTGTTTTTCTGTTCAACAAGGGATGGCAGATATCAAAGCAACAAAAATGAACATACCTCCTTACTTTCCACAGCTGATGATAAATGAGCCTGGCACTCACCTTCAGTCACCATGTACCCTAGGCCATCAGAGAGGGAAACATCAAGCTGAGGCTAGTTTCATGTTCATGTGTTGAGCAGTGAAGTTTCCATCCACAATGTATCTCTGCATAACCAGCCATCTACCAAATTAAGTCAGCATCAGGGATATCAGGCCATCAGCCAGCCTGCTTGTACACAGAGTATTTATAGGCTGACCATCTCTCTGTGGACATTGGGGGAAAAAAACTACTTGCCTTGCATACTTGTCATGCCAAGACAGTGGCATATTGATGCCAGACTGTGGACAGGCAGCACAGAATAAAGCTAGCTCACCCTGACCAGGTTGTACCTTCATATCATGACCAAATCTGAACCTTTTACGATTCATCAAATCTCTGAATTGATGAGATGTCCTCATGAGTTCATGATACTGATTCTAAGGGATTGGTGAATAAAATATATGATCTTGTAAAAAAAATGATGATTTACCAGAACAAAGTCTGGAGAAGCATTATTTGTGAGACAATGAAGCTTTGGAAAGAAGCTCATGGCAGAGGTCTTGCATTCAAGTGCATCAATGAGGAAATGATCAAGGACTTCAAAGGTGAAAGCAGTTTGAGGATGTGATATACTGGCTGGAAACAATCCTGCATTGAGCAGCTGCACATGCTGCTGAGGTTCAGATCCATGGCATTGACACCAGAATATGTTGTGGGTGAATATGCCTATGGAATGCATGATAGTCATAGAAGTTGCCCCTGGAATGGTTGCTTTGATGGTCTCAACTCTGGCACCATCATCCATATCTATATCCTCATTGACTTCCTCCCATTCCTTGGTATGACCAGCATTCACCAAATGGTAAAGGCAAGCACACAACCACTAGGTGTTAAGACCATGCTCAGGGGTAAAGTGGAGTCTGAGGGGCTTGGCTTCAGCTCGTATGCTGCACCCCTTACCCAAGTATGTGCCCCTAATTTCAGAATGTAGTCCAACACAAATTCTATGGGTTCCAACAGGACGTCAGAACGGGGGTCCTTTTGAAGGAGGACCGACGGACTACTAGGTGAGCACGGGAAAGTTGGGTGGGGGTTGTTCCACCTGACAGGAGGGAGGCGGGAGACTACTGGGGTTGGAACCAACAGTAGAAGTGGAGCAGAAGGAACTGCTTGGACGAAGTCCAAAGCAGAGCAGAAGGAGGGGACAGATGTGAGAGTGCGGGGTCTAGTTCCAATGCACAGGAAGTGTGGGTGAGTGGAGGATGGGGGACGGGGGAATGGGGGAATGGGGGAATGGGGGAATGGGGGAAAGGGGGGAAGGGGAATGGGGGAGGGAATGGGGGAATGGGGGAAGGGGAAGGGGGGAACGGGGGGAAGGGGGGGGGAAGGGGGGAACGGGGGGGGAACGGGGGAGGGGGGAAGGGAACGGGGGAACGGGGGAAGGGGGGGGACGGGGGAACGGGGGGGGGGGAAACGGGGGAAGGGGGGGGACGGGGGGGGGGAAGGGGGGAACGGGGGAAGGGGGAACGGGGGGGGGGGAGGGAAGGGGAACGGGGGGGGGGAACGGGGGAAACGGGGGGAAGGGGAAGGGGGAACGGGGGGGAACGGGGGAACGGGGGAACCGGGGGAACGGGGGAATGGAGTATGGAGGATTGGAGGATTGGAGGATCAAAGGATTGGAGGATGGCCGACCTAGGGAGTCCATCCCCTAGGCCGGCTTTAACAGGAGTTGACTAGGATCAGGCCCAAGTCAAAGAACAGAAGAGCAGGGCTTAGAAAAGGTAATATTCAGACTGAGTATCTACAGACAAATGTACATGTGTTTATATACTCTAAATGATGAGCATAGCATAGCAGAGGGCTATGTGCTGAGTGTACAGGAATACAATAGGATGACTGAGACATACAAGAATAAGGCTCGGGGAACAGTATGTACACGACAGATTAGAATCACTAGGGTATAGGGATTACCAGTGATCCGAAAAGCGGAACTATGATACTAAACGGGGATAGGACCAGTTGAGTGGTTCCTAGTCTAGGAGTGGACTGGTGAGGCGGTTGGACAGACTAACAGTTGGGTGGGGGAATACGAGCGGAACTGAAGGACCCCCATGGGTCAGAAAAGCGGAGGGAGTAGGAGTAGGATTGGGCGGACCAATAGGGCGGAGGAGTGGAACCCCAGATAGGGTTGGATGGAAGGGGTATGGGGTCGGGGGGACATAGGGGTAATGTCAGAGAAGTGGAACAGGGTCGGGTGGAGGTAGCAGGGCTAATCCTGCTGAGATGCACTTCATGCATTGTCGGGGAAGGAGGAATGGAGCGGACGGGGAAACAGGGGGTTGGACCAGGGGTGGGGATGCTTATAGGTGGTACTGGGGGTACTCGGATCCGGTATATAACACTAGGACTCGGTCAAAGACGATGATGAAGAACAAAGATAGGATTGAGCGTGAACATCTAAGTCTATCACAAGTGTAGAAACGAAGAGGTTAAGTCTAAGGAGTGCTTATGCTAACTAACCTACTTATATACATAACATTGAATAGGAGATATTTGAGTATGAAACAAATCAGCCAATGAGAAAAGAGTTGTACAACGACTGCAGATGATGAAGCATGACATCATGATATATAAGCAATGAGTCATGGACAGTGACTAAATAGAAACCCAAGATCCAACCAGTACTTTTTCTGGAAGCAAGATTGTTCTAGCCTGTGGAGTTGAGGAACCAATTGGAGAAACAACGGGTGATATGTGAAGAGGTGAAACTGTGACAGGAAGCAAAGTCACGTGACCAGTTTGGGAATGAGAAGTAACCAGAGGGAAACCAAGAAATAAAAATGATTCATATTGGGGATTCATCACATTACCCCCTTTTTAGGATGAGCATCCTCGCAAATATAGGATGGTTGGATATTTTTCTGTTGCCACTCTAGGAAACCGGGTGTCTGCAGAATTGGAATGATAAAACTAGCAATTCGGTGCAATTTTGGAGTGTCAGGATGTGTGGTGTAAAATTTGCTGACTAATCTGGGGGAGTTCTTCAGATTTTCCTTGCTTTCCCATATCGCTTCTTTCAATGGATACCCTTTCCATTTTACTTTGTATTGTAGCTTCTTTTGCCATATTCTGCTGGATATCACTTTTCTACTTGACTGTCATATACCTGATCCGACCCGCTCTGATATCAATATCCACTCCACCTGATTCTACATCCTTCCCCGCTTTCTGACCACCTCTGCTCCATCCATCCTCTGCTCCGTCCAATCATCGTCTGCTTCTGCTCTGCTCAACCGCCTGACTGGTCACCTTCTATAACATCTCCATTCAACTGGAACCCTCTTTCCCCTTTTAGACATATACTTTCCCCTTTGGTACATACAGTGGCTCAAAAAAGTGTCTGAATGATTATATATTTTCAAGTAATTGAACAATAGCAAGGCAGAACCAAACAATGACCAAAGGGTATAGGGACATGTCTGAAAGCCCTGTATCATGGCTCAAATCTGAGATATATCGCGTGGGAAACCGACCATATATGGGCAAGCTATGGTAATTCTAAATACATGACTCATTCAGACACTTTTTTGACTTTGTATTGAACCAAGACTGTTGTATGATTCTAGTACTTGGTGCTACCCCCCTTGGCTTTAATAACTGCTGCAATCCTCCTATGCATACTTTCTATCAATTTTTGATACTCCTCTTCAGCAACCTTTTTCCACTCTGCTGCAACTCTCTCCCATAGTTTAAATAGCCCCTGTGGAGGATCTTGATAGGCAGCAAGTGGTCTTTTGAGTAATTCACAGAGATGTTCAATGAGATTGAGGTCTGGAGCCTGTGCTGGCCATGATAGAACATTGATATCATGGTCTTCAAACCATGTTGTAGCCAGTTTTGAGGTGTACTTGGGGTCATTATCTTGTTGAAAGATAATGTCTTCTTCATCAATTCCTGACTCCTGCATGCTTTTGAGTAGACACTCCTCTAGAATGGAGATGTACTACTCTGCATTCATCCATCCTTCCACTTCACAAAGAATCTCCACACCATTCCACCCCATACAACCCCATACCATCATACTTCCTCCTCCAAACTTCAGTGTACCCTTGACTTCTCTTTCTCCTAATGGTTCTCCTGCCTTTTTCCACACATATTCCTGGCCATATGACCCCATTCTATTGATTTTTATTTCATCTGACCAAATAACCTTCTTCCAGTCTTCCACACTCTAATGTTGGTGCTTTAAAGCAAAGGCCAGTCTTCTCTTCCTATGAGCTACAGAGAGGAGGTCTTTTCTTCTTGGTTACAGCCTTAAGATTGGCTGCCTTGAGGGTGTTTCTGACACTTTGGGTGGTGACAGGAGTGGAGATGATGGAATTGATGATTGGTAGCTTGGGTAGCATTTGAAGCCTTGCCAGATAGAATTTGGTGAACAATAGCTCTTTTGTTCTGTGGAGTAAGCTTGGGAGGACATCCCATTTGATGATTTTACTTCTCTGGCATGTACTGCTTTATGGCTGTAGTAATAGTAGACTTTCCAAGACTAGTTTTTGAGGCAATTTGCCTAGTAGATAAACCAGAGGTACAGAGAACAAGGATATTATCCTTGTGGGCAGAGGAGGTGGGCTTCATGATGATTATGTTGAATTTCATGATTTTATGTGGGTTTATATATTCAAATAATACTGCAATCAGACCACATTATCATTATGAAATGGCTTTAATTAAGAGTATTGTGTATGAATGGTCTGATTTTGTGATGTCAATAAAAAGTCAAAAAAGTGTCTGAATGAGTCATGTATTAAGAATTACCATAGCTTGCCTATATATGGTCGGGTTCCCACGCTATATATCTCAGGTTTGAGCCATGATACAGGGCTTTCAGACATGTCCCTATACCCTTTGGTCATTGTTTGGTTCTGCCTTGCTATTGTTCAATTACTTGAAAATGTATAATCATTCAGACACTTTTTCGAGCCACTGTAGACCCTTACTTCTGGATCACTGGTAACTCCTCTTACCGCTCAATCACTGATCCGACGCATACATATTGATATCCGCTCCGACTTATGTCTTCGCCTGAGTAAGTACTTACAAACTATATCTTTGGTACATAGCTTTACAACATAGTTCTTCTAATCACTGCCTCACACTTAGAAGTATATAACATACCCTGTACTTAGATATTTTCCTCAGTCTTAATATTACTTGTCTTCTCGCAGTCTCTACTTGTGAGAATTCTCAGTAGGACCTTGCCTTCTCCAGACACAAGTTTCATCTTGTTGTCACCTCCGACCTTCTGCTCCAACTTAGAGCGGTGCTCTAAGTCTTCTCTCTTGCTTCTCCGCCTCTATCAATAAACCCCTTTGATCCTATCCACCTTCCGCACTATCCTCCACCTTTCCCGCTCCGCTCCTAGTCGGCCCACCACTAGTAGCGTTTACTTCCCGACCCTCAAGTGGACCAAAGCGGTCTACTTGTCCTACCGTTGGACAACATTGGACCCGCTCCAAATTTGGGGCACATGCTCGGCTAAGGGTGCAGCGCAAGAGCTGAAGCCAAGCCCTGACCCCTCCACTTCTTGAGCCTGGCACGGTACCTAACATTGACATTCTTCTTTGGATTGGACAATATCTGAGGGTGGATGTGTGGGAGTGACTTGAGGTGTTAGTGTGGAAGTTTTGTGTGGTGTGAGCAATCCCACATGAAACACTGGATGGATCTTATATGTTTGGGGTCATTTGATCCGGTAGTTTA